CCCCCCTTCCTTTGCCTACTTTAAAATGTCCATCATTTGGTTCAGGTCTCAGAGGGACGGCTTGGAGAACCTGTATGGCAAAGGTTCCATCCCCCAGGAGCCCTACCCCCAGTGGCGTTGTGTGGTGTGGGTGGACGATGAGACCATGGTGGCTTGCAGCCGCAGCTCGGGGGCCGTGGACGTGTTTGACATCGTGGGCTCGCTGCTTTTTACCATACCCGGGGTGAGGAGAACTTGTCTTCCCTCTCTTCTTTTCTTTTTCATCCTCTGTTGCCGTTAAGCGTCGAGGGGAGATGCAGTTTTTGTATGGTAGGCCAGCTCCGCTGCTCTTTCAGTTGGGATATTATGGTTTTTCAGGGTTTCCTTGACACCCTCGATCCACCTTTTGCGTGGTCTTCCTCTTCCTTTATAGCCTGAGTGCTTGGTGTTGTAGGCTCTCGAGGCTGGCTGGCCAGGTGACATACGTAACAGGTGGCCAAACCATTTTATCCTCTGTCTTTCCATGTAATGCAGGCAGGACCCAGTGCCGATAGCTGCTCTGACTTCTTCATTTCTCTGCCTGTCTTGTCTTGTAATGTTAAGAGTTTTGCGGAGACATTTCATTTCGCCTTCAGTGATTTTGCTTTCATGGGTTTTACTTAATGTCCAGGTCTGGCACTGGTAGCATAATGCTGGTACAAATATTGAGGTGATAAGCTGTCTCTTTGTGTCCATGGAGAAGTTTGGATGAGGTAGGAGAGGTGCGAGCTGGTTGGTGACAGCGTTGGTGAAATCATGACTGGCCTAGCAAGCCGACGGCAGATAAATCATGCTATGAGACAAACAAAGGAGACCTTGTCGCTATCAAATAAGTCATGTACATTATTTTTGAATGTGCTCTTTGTTAGGGAAAATAGTGTGTGGCGTCTGTGGCCTAGTAGTTAAACTCTCGGACTCGTAACCATAAGGTTGAGGGTTCAAATCCCACCAGGGACCCGATGTTGTGTCCTTGGGAAAGGCACTTTCCATAAATTTTCCTCTTTTCACCCAGATGGGAATGGGTACCCGCCTATCCCGCCTATAGACATTTAAAAATCTTGTCAGTTTGTTAGTGTTTTAGCGCATGCAATCTGCAGCTTTCAATGTATGCTTCCCATGAAGTCGAGAATTTTTTGAGTGTTCTAGAGCTGCTGGGGTGGTTTACAGATGCTCTGGTGCCGTCTGCTTCTTCTTTCCTATAAAACATGTCGTCATAATCTCTTCTTCTTTTCTTTGTACGTTACTCTCCAGTACAACCTGTAATCTTGGGGCACTTATATATGACCTAATTGTGTTGCAAGTGCTGTAAAACACTTACTAAAAACTACACTAAAACTGGAGGACATACTGACAAACATCTTCCCTCCTTTCCAGATGGGTGGTTGGCGGGTGCTCTGGTGTGGTTTGCTCCTTATTTCCTACCAAATATCTATCGTCCTGATCTTTCCTCTTTTTTGTGTTTGTTGCTCTCTTGTAACACCTCTTTTTATTGTGTTGCAAGTGCCGTAAAACTCTTACTAAAAATAAACCGGTCGAATTGTAAATGGGCTGATTCATCAATGTCATGCTCATAACTGTGCCTGAACTGCAACTGGGAACTGCTGCTTTTTCTTTCCTCATCCTTACTGTTGTCATTTTTCCTCTACTTCTTTTGTATGTTTGCCACTCTCTTGTGACCCGCTATTTCCGGGGTGCCTTGATAGTCGAAGCAGACCTTGTGCTGTTGAGGCTAGAGAGGTGAGCAGAGTTAGCCTGATTCCCTGTAAGGATTTCTCTGTTGACATCCACCCCTTGGCGCTCATATAACCTTATGCAGTGGCGAGCAGCATAAAAACTCTACTAAAAATTTTTTTTAAAATACTGACAAACGTCTTCCCTTTTCCCTCATCTCCAGACGTCGGGTGAGACGGCTACACCAGATCTCAGCGACGCTGTGGCTGCTCTTATCTTCACTGACTTCTCCCCGCCTGACGACAAATGGTAAACATGTTTTGTTTCCTTTTTTTTTACCAGTTCAGTTTTTAATTTTTAATTTTAAAAATATCCGTGGCAACCATCACAGAATGGATTGTAAGCGTATGATAAGCTAGTAGGTGTGTGTGTGTGTGTGTGTGTGTGCGCGTGTGTGTGTTCGTGTGGGAATATTGTTCGTACATGCATTTATGTAAAGCGCCTAGAGCTGTGTTCACATGGGAGTGGGCGCTATAGAAATGATCTACATTTTTATTATTATTATTATTATTATTATTATGTTCTTTTCATTACAAAAACACCTACCGCTGTCTATGGTGTGGCAGTAAGGCACTTTGCTGTCGCACGCGAGAAACCCGAGTTGGATTTTTATCGAGCATCTTGGTCTTTCTGTTTGGATGTTGTATCTCTCTCGGCAGAAACTATAACTAACTCTGCAGTAACGTCTCTAATCTTCCGCACATATATAACCTATTTGTATCGCAAGTGCTGTAAAACTCTAACGAAAACTGACAACTCTCCGCAGTGTAAGTCTCATGAAATTGAAGTTGAATTTCACGTTATTTTCTATTGTCCATATTTTGTCTCTCAAAGGAAATTGTTAATTCCTCCCAGCCTGACTCGGCCCAGTGACAGAAATATGCAATGTTTGACCCATGATAAGAGATATGTGCACAACCTGTACTAAAAACTACACTGCAACAACTAAAGGACATACGGACAAACATCTTTCCCTGTCTCCAGACATCCACCATCCGGGGCGGTGCTGCTGACTGAAGTGTCTGTAGGCCATTCCAAAAGGGGGGATATTATCATGTTCTTATGCACAGTAGAATTGTAAATGGAAATTTTATTGAACAAATGGGTGTTCTATACGATGTGGGCCAATGGTCTTAAACAGTAAATAAATTTACTTACTGAACTTACTCACTATCTCTCCTCCACCCTCCTGGGCGGTGCCGCTGACTGAAGTGTCTTTAGGCCATTCCCAAAGGGGGGACATAAACATGTTCTTATGCATATAGAATTATAAATGGGCTGATTCATCATTGTCATGCTCATGTTACTCTGTTGTAACACCTCTAATCTTTGGCACTTATATGACCTTACTGTGTTGCGCAAGTGCCGTAAAACTCTTACTGAAACTAAAACTAAACTTATATGACCTTATTGCGTTGCAAGTGCCGTAAAACACTTACTAAAACTAAAACTGGCTTACTAGACTTTCTGACTAACTCTCCTCTACCTTCCCGGGGCGGTGCCACTGACTTACTAAACTTCCTGACCAACTCTCCTCTACCTTCCCGGGGCGGTGCCACTGACTTACTAAACCTACTCACCAACTCTCCTCTACCTTCCGGGCGGTGCTACTGACTTACTAAACCTACTCACCAACTCTCCTCAGGTCCCAAGAGCTGCTGATCATCAACCACCACGGCTCAATGTCCAGTTACTTTGTGGACCGTGACAACGGCTTTCTGTTGCGCTACACGTTTGCCTTGGCCAGCCAGTACCCTCGTGGCATCAGCTCCGTGTCCTACTGCCCCAGACACAAGATTCTGTTGGTGGGGGGGTCGGGGGTGGCGGAGGAGAGCTCGGAGACGGCGGGGGCCAGAGGGGAGGGGATCACGGCATGGAGACTGCTCTCTGACACACCCTTCTGTAAGCTCATCACCGACTACGAGGAGGAGAAGGAGAAGGTGTGTGGGCTGTGTTGTGTCGTCAGGTTTTCTGTCAGCCGTTCCTTCTGTCTGTTTGTTTGTATCCTGAGTGAGCGCTGCTGACTGAAACTGTCAGTGGGGACTGAAACTGTCAGTGGGGTTAGTACCTTCAAGTCACCTTTATTGACTGAAACAGTCAGTGGAGATAGTGCATTAGTGGGTGGTTGGCGGGTGCTCTGGTGTGGTTTGTCCTTCTTTCTTATCAAACTTGACCTATCATCCTTATCTACCCTCCTTCTTCTTTTTGTGTTTGTAACTCTCTTGTAACACCTCTAATCTTCGGCACCGATATGACCTTATTTTGTTGTTTTGTTGCAAGTATTGTAAAACTAAAAGGAGATAGTGCCTTCAAGTCACCATTATTGACTGAAACGGTCAACGGGGAAAGTGCCTTCAGACCACGAGTATTGTATTGTTTCTTCCTGTATAGTCAAAGGAAGCTCGTGCAAGTATTGAGAATCCCCCGGGGCAGTGCCACTGACTGTAGTGTTTATAGGCCATTCCCAAAGGGGGGACATTTCTCGTTCAAGCATAGTAGAAAGGGCTGACTCATGTCACGCTCATAACTGTTCATAACTGTGCCTGATCTACAACAGGGAACTGCTGCTTTTTCTTTCCTGATCCTTACTATTGTCATTTTCCTCTACTTATTTTGTATGTTTGTCACTCTCTTGTGACCTGCTGTTTCCTGAGTGCCTTGATAGTCGAAGCGGACCTTGTGCTGTTGAAGCTAGAGAGGTGAGCAGTCTAAGTCTTATTCCCTGTAAAGAGTTCTCTGTTGACACCCACCCCTTGGTACTCATATGAACTTATGCGGTTGTGAGCGCCGATAAACCCTATACTAAACAAACAAGTATTCAGAAATGACACCCCCAACATCTGTAGCCTGATGTACTGTAGTAGTGAAAACAATACTAATGATAAAGATCATGCTCAAAATGTGGCAAACTGTTTGCTTCCAGGGTTAGTCTTATCGGCTATTCCACTACAGCAGAAGCTTTATTTTATTTCCAGTAAGAAATTTTCTCCAATGTAGATGCATCAGTCGTCATCACACATAGATGGATTAACTATAAGAATTATCATGAATGATAGTAATAATAATGATTATAATGATAATAATTAATATAATGATCATGATAATAATAATAATAATAATAATAATAAAAAATGTAATTTATATCGAGCACATTTCCATTCAGTGAATGATGGATGCGCAATACTGCAATGATTATGAGAACATCTGAATACCTTCATTCCTATTTCAGCCCTGTGCACTCTGTCGCCTCAGAACTATTTTGTCCAAAGTGCCTCTTTATTTAACACTTTGCCCCACGGAAAGCCGATCGGTTATGGTAAGAAGCCGCCCCTTTTCCCCACGGAAAGCCGATCGGTTATGGTAAGAAGCCGCCCCTTTTCCCCACGGAATGCCGATCGGTGATGGTAAGAAGCTGTCCCTTTTCCCCACGGAAAGCCGATCGGTGATGGTAAGAAGCCGCCCCTTTCCCCCACGGAATGCCGATCGGCGCCGGTGTGATATAGCGTGTACCGCACCTGTTTCCTGGTCCATGGGGATAAGTGTTGAGCGCTCTGCTGCACGCTGCGTGGGTGGAAAGTGTTAACCCTAGAAGCGCTCAGCGTTTCACCGGAAGTGACCCACCAAAAATGCCCCGCCGCCACGGCC